AAGATTATGTAATTTTATTACTTGACAACCAAACAAAGGAATTTTGAAAATTAAACAAAGATTATAGGAGAATCTTATATCACCCGAATCAAACGCAACCGAAGAACATAATACATTAGACAATACCAAAATATTTGAAAAAAAAAAATAAATTTATATGTGAAACAATTAAAAATTAAAATTTATATTTTTTGTAATTTGATTTATCCCAATACAAATCTTTTCATCAATCAAACTATTGTTTTGTTATAGATGATTTGAATAACTAATAAAAACAGTGGAATGTCGAAAACATTTGTAAAAGAATAGAAAATTAGAATCAATTTTAATAATTGATTAAATACGAGGTTTTTCAATTTAATGGAGGGTGCGGACAGATCTATCTATAGTAATTTGTAATAGGAGTTTTCAAAACTCCCGGCTGATTTTCTAGGCTCGGGTTAAGTGTAAATATGTCCGGTCGGGCCGGGTTTGTACAATCCATAGTGCAAAAGCTCACCCCAGCTCAGTGGACGAGGAAAACAAATAAAAACGAACTCCTCAAACCGGGCTGCCCAGAGTTTGTAGTCTAGGGGTTCTGCCTTCGAGGAAACAAGCTGAGCCATGGCTATGCAAACGGGAGTTAGTTTCCTAAAATAATGATTTTAGCTGGTGCAGGTATGAATAATTTCCCCTCTCGTAATTTATTCAGTTACAGATCATCTCTGTTTTGATCTGATTATGAGTTATTCGTAGGATACACGGGAACTGTATTGGTTAATAACGGTAAAATTATCGGATTTTGGGCAAACTGCAGGTATTGTTCTGTGATTTTTGTTTTCTCAAATTTATTTGTTGATTGATTGATTGCAATATATTTTGTGCTATTAGGCGAACTTTGAGGGTTTTTTTTTTTTAAATTTTTTTAACCAACTTTTTTTTTTGGAATTTCTATTAATTTTTAGTATTTATTAGGGCATTTACGTCTCATGGACGTGAGAAACCCTTTCTATTAATTGGTTATATTTGGATTAACGATGGTTCAAATTATGTATTTTGTCTAGTTCAGTTAGTTAGGATACGTTCTATTTTTGATCTTGAAAAGTATTATTTCTGTTTTCTACGTTAATAGGGAAAAATTAACCTTAACAGGTTAAGTATGTATGTATGAATAATGTCAGTCGATGGTAGTCTTAGGTTCTTTTTCTTTTTTTACGGAATTGGTGAAGGTTGGAAAGTTCTGGTGAACATGATGGTGATTCTGACCACACTTCTGATGCTGTCGCCCAGGTAATAACGACAGAGAGTTTGCTTGAATCGTGAACAAAATTTATATTTTCTTTTTTTTCATTTCTTGTTCAGTATGTTTTATATGCAAACTGAGTAATAATTCAATTTATTTTGAAATTCAAAAACAGTTACGACGTATGGCTATGGAGAGCGGCAGTAGCCTCAAGTAGACCGATAACTGTGCTTAATGGGACTTCTGGTGGTATTGTCTGATATGTCTTTTGTCTATTATATCAAGATATTTTACGTTATTTTATATGGCGATTTGTGTTAAAATTTTCTAATTTGGGCTACTTTTGTTTGTGTCTTTTGGTTTATGAAAAATGGGGCTAAACAATAAATGATTGATGTACCAAAAAGCTTAAATGTGATTGTAAGTAGATATTAGAAAAGGGGTTCACCATAAATTAAATTAATTGCATTCTGCTTTTGCATAATACCAATCAAGTGCTTTTTGATTGGTTGTATTGTTGCTCTTTGGTTTTAAAATTGCTTAATTGATGTCTTTTTCCCTCAACTTATGTTTTTCTAGGTAGTGCAAATTCCTCATGATTCCAGCTGCTACTTTGGGGGCGTTAGGTTATGGTTACATGGGTGGAAGTATCTCACTTTAGGCTATGGTTAATATGGTTCTCAGTGCTTGTGTGAACTTTAAAGATTATTATTTATTTTTAATCCGTAAGGTGCTAATAGATCCACTTTTTTAATGGTACGAAAGGTAATGAATAGTTAATCAGGCCTTTTAGGGGCTGTTTATGATTTTTAAAAGGATTATAGTAATGAGTGGATCTATTCCTTTAAAAAAATTATAGACAAATCCTAAAAAGATTTAAAAATCCTTATTAAACTATTCATTTACCTTTCATAAAATAAAAGAGTTGGTACTTCACTGAAGGATTAAAAAAGCCTTACTTCTTAAAACACCTAATTTCAAAGTTTTAAATTAAATTTTGTTCTTATGGCACCCTATAAATTCTATAAATGCCCTTCATTTCATTTTTTTAATATTTCAAAAAAGTTATTTTTTTTCTTATAACACACCATAAATTTCCCTTAACTTATGTTATATACACCCCACCATCATCAATCTTGAAAAATAATAAGGGGCGTTTGGTTTGAGGTTATGTGAGATTATTGAAGTTATGTCATATTATATTACTTGATTACCACGTTTGATTGTCAAGTAATATAAGATTCCAATAATCTTCAAATACCAATAGTATTTACTATTGGTAATATTAGAGGTAATCTTACAACCTCTATTTTCTTAGGTATTGTAAGATTATCGAAGTAATCTTTTTTTGTTATAATTCTATCTCTTATTAATATAATTTTAGGACGATAATACCCTTATTTTTAAATTTATTTACATAAATCTTGCTTTTACCATTTCATCCCAATTAATTAATTTTTTTTTACAAAATTACCCTTGAAATCAAAACAAATTTTAGCTTACCCAAGCCACCACCTCCACCCACTTGCCGCCAGCCAAACCACCGCGGGCCGACGCGTGAAGTCGTTGGAGATCGCCCGAAATCACCTTGAATAGCCGAGAGACACCTAGAAAAGGCCACATCGAAGCAGATATGGCCATTAACGGCCAGATCCATGGCCTTTACTAGCCATATCTGAATGAGATATGGCTATTAAGGCCATGGATTTGGCCGTTAATGGCCAGATCTATTTTGGTCTCCAACATCTCCGTCGCCACTCTATCACATCTCCTCTGCGTCGATCTCGTCTCCGATCTCATTTCCACCATCGACAAAGAGCCCAAGGTTGCTCAATCTAAACGATGCATTTTCTAGCTTCTTTCGGCCACTGACAACGGCGGATGGCGGTGGCGGGCAATGGCTTGTTGTGGTGGGGGTGATTTTGTTATAATATAAAGTTTTATATAAGTGCAGTGTTTTAGCTAAATCTGAAATGTTGGGGGTTAAAAGAAATTATTCAAAAATTAAAAATAAAAATAATATTATATTAATATTTAAAAAGACGGCAATTTAGTAATTTAAATAACATACCCACCAATTTATTCTTCCCAACCAAACATATTAATTTAACATACCCACCAATTTATTCCAACACATTTTTCTAAGGATTCCCAATAATCTTCAAAGTAATCTAACATTTCTAGTAATCCAATATTCCCTGAACCAAACACACCCTAATTAGATAATCAAGTTGAAAGTTTAGAAAACATTAAAACTTAAAAAAATGATTACAAATAATCTTAAGGGTGCGTTTGGTTCAGGGAATGTTGTATTACGGGGGAATGTTGTATTACTGGAAAGATAGATTACTAGGGAATCTTTAGAGAAATGTGTTTGGTTAGTTGAAATAAATTGGTGGGTATGTTATAATAATATGTTTGGTTTGAAGGATAATGAGTGGATATATTATGTAGATTACTAAATTGCCCTTGCTTTTAAATAATAATATTTTTTTAATTATTCTTTTAACCCCCTATATTTGAAATTTTGCTAAAACACCCAGCCATATAAAACTTTAATTTGTAGCAAAATCACTCTCACCCATCCCAAGCCACTGCCGACAGCCAGCCACCACCGTCGACAGCCGCCATAATGGAGCACGACCGGCCAGATCTGGCTGGTCGTGCTCTAGTAAGGCCTAATCCAGCCATGAAAAATCGGCTAGACCTAATCGTGAATATAGCCGTTTTATGGCCAAAGATGTGGTCGTGAAACAACCACAGATCTGGCTGTGAAACAGCGACTATTTCACGACAGATCTATGGCATTTCATAGCCAGATTTGGTCATTTTTCAACCATGGATCACAAATCCATGGCCGGAAACATCTTTACTGACACATGACCGACAAGATCCAGTCGGTCTTGCCCCTATATGATGACTTTTGCAAGCGACCAACGGTGGTGGCTAGCGGCCGACGGTGCTCTTGGGTGACTGGGGGTATTTTGTTAACTTTTAAACTTTTTTTTATGACTCGGGTGTTTTAGCTATATTTTCAAATGTAGGGGGTCTGGGTAATTGTTATTTGGTAGACATATGAGGACAAATGTGTCAGAAATGATAAAAGATTAAGAGCAAAATATGGTCAAAATTAAGATTACCTCGGTAATCTTATATTAACACTCATTGGGAAGGTAATCTGATTACTCCTGATATTACCAATAGTAAACATTATTTGCAATAAAAGATTATGTAATATTTTATTACTTGACAACCAAACAAAGGAATTTTGAAAATTAAACAAAGATTATAGGATGAATCTTATATCACCCCGAATCAAACGCAACCGAAGAACATAATACAATTAGACAATACAAAAATATTTGAAAAAAAAACAATAAATTTATATGTGAAACAATTAAAAATTAAAAATTTTATATTTTTTGTAATTTGATTTATCCCAATACAAATCTTTTTCATCAATCAAACTATTGTTTTGTTATAGAATGATTTGAATAACTAATAAAAACAGTGGAATGTCGAAAACATTTGTAAAAGAATAGAAAATTAGAATCAATTTTAATAATTTAATATAAAGATAAATTTATTATTATAAAATTGATTAAATAATGAGGTTTTTTAATTTAATGATAGGGTGCGAACAGATCTACTCCATAGTAATTTGTAATAGGAGTTTTCAAAACTCCTGGCTGATTTTCTAGGCTCGGGTCTAAGTGTAATTTATGTCCGGTCGGGCCGGGTTTTATTACATCCATAGTGTAAAAGTTCACCCCAGCTTTCAGTGGACGAGAAAACAAATAAAAACGAACTCCTCAAACCGGGCTGCCCAGAGTTTGTAGTCTAGGGTTTCTGCCTTCGAGGAAACAAGCTGAGCCATGGCTATGCAAACGGGAGTTAGTTTCTCTAAAATACTGATTTTAGCTGGTGCAGGTATGAATCACTTTCCCTCTCTCGCTAATTTATTCAGTTACAGCTCATCTCTGTTTTGATCTGATTATGAGTTATTTGTAGGATACACGGGAACTGTATTGGTTAATAACGGTAAATTATCGGATTTGTTGGGCAAACTGCAGGTATTGTTCTGTGATTTTTTTTCCCTCAAATTTTATTTGTTGATTGATTGATTGCAATATATTTTGTGCTTATTAGGCGAACTTTGAGGGTTTTTTTTTTTTTATTTTTTTTTTTTTTTTTTTTTTTTTGGGAATTTCTATTTTAATTTTTTTAGTATTTATTAGGGTATTTTACGTCTCATGGACGTGAGAAACCCTTTCTATTAATTGGTTATATTTGGATTAACGATGGTTCAAAATTATGTATTTTTGTCTAGTTCAGTTAGTTAGGATACGTTCTATTTTTGATCTTGAAAAGTATTATTTCTGTTTTCTACGTTTTAATAGGGAAAAAATTAAACCTTAACAGGAATTGATTATGATTATGAATAATGTCAGTCGATGGTAGTCTTAGGTTCTTTTTCTTTTTTTTACAGGAATTGGTGAAGGGATTGGAAAGTTCTGGTGAACATGATGGTGATTCTGACCACACTTCTGATGCTGTCGCCCAGGTAATAACGACAGAGAGTTTGCTTGAATCGTGAACAAAATTTATATTTTCTTTTTTTCATTTCTTTGTTCAGTATGTTTTATATGCAAACTGAGTAATAATTCAATTTATTTTGAAATTCAATAACAGTTACGACGTATGGCTATGGAGATGCGGCAGATAGCCTCAAGTAGACCGATAACTGTGCTTAATGGGACTTCTGGTGGTATTGTCTGATATGTCTTTTTGTCTATTATATCAAGATATTTTACGTTATTTTATATGTCGATTTGTGTTAAAATTTTCTAATTTGGGCTACTTTTGTTTGTGTCTTTTGGTTTATGAAAAATGGGGTTAAACAATAAATTGATTGATGTACCAAAAAGCTTAAATGTGATTGTAAGTAGATATTAGAAAAGGGGTTCACCATAAATTAAATCTAATTGCATTCTGCTTTTGCATAATACCAATCAAGTGCTTTTTGATTGGTTGTATTGTTGCTCTTTGGTTTTAAACTTGCTTAATTGATGTCTTTTTCCCTCAACTTGTGTTTTTCTAGGTAGTGCAACTTCCCTTATGATTCCAGCTGCTACTTTGGGGGCGTTAGGTTATGGTTACATGTGGTGGAAGGTATCTACTTTAGGCTATGGTTAATCTGGTTCTCAGTGCTTCTGTGAACTTTAAAGATTTATTTATTTATTTTTAATCCTTAGGAGTTACACATCGTTTTTCATTTTGCTGATTTTTGATCTGTCTATGTACTTTGACGAGACTGATTTTGTTCATTCTGGTTTGTTGTCAGGGTATTTCATTCTCTGATCTTATGTGGGTAACCAAAAAAAGTATGACGGCTGCTGTTTCAAACTTGACAAACCATCTGGAAAATGTTACAGAAGCTCTTTCTGTAAGTTCAGTTTCATTCCTGCCATTTTCATATATTTTGGCTAGAGTTTTTATGTGGTTAAGTTTGCTTTGAAGGGCATTTGTGATAACATAAGTAGGTAATCATGAAAAATACACACTAGTGATTCATTCAGAGCATTTTTCATTTGCAAATAGATCCATTGATCGGAAGTTCCCGATTGGTTGTTTGTTGTAATTACCTTAAAAAAAAGTTTTCTATTGCTAAGCTCTTTACCATTTGATCTATTGATAGTGAGTCTGTTCAGTTCTTGGTAACTGCACCATCTTGTCCAAGCAATGGTTGGAATTTAGGATTTTTGAACTCTCTATTTATGTGCTTCAATGATTTTATTTGGGGCTCTTTGTTTCTTATTTAATAAATAAAAAAGAAAAAAAATGATTTCTTCTTGTGGATTCAATTTGCCCATTGTCATATGTATGGGCATTGTCAGCTTTCATACTAGACTGGGCTAACAAAATGTTTTCTAAATAAAAGGCTTATTCATAATATTGGGTAGATTTTTTTCCCTTTTTTATAATAAACTTCTATGTTATGGGAATTTCATTGATGACATATACTATTTTAAATGTCAATGAATGTTCTTTGAATTTCTACTTTAGCTTGAGAAGTCAATTAAATCTTACATATTAAACCTAAACCTAACCTCAAATTCAGAAACTAAAACTAATAATCACAGTTATATCCTATTGAAATCAATAAAAACAGTGATACTTTGTAGAAAATTGAAAGAATAACATGAGCAGTAGATATGAACACACAGAAAATATATATTTTAATGGGAACAGAAGTATGTTAAGGAGAATTAAGAGACATTAATAGTTTAATGGTGGCAACCAGGTTCCACAGCAAAATGGCAGGGATACTTACCAAAATACTCCGTGTGATTTGTTCAATATGAAAAATAAAAAAAGAAAGATTCATTCAGCTGAGACGGAAGAAAAAATTACTACAATCTTTATGTAAAAACTAAAAAGGTTGGTAACTGTCATAGCTATGCCCATGGTCTATTCTTCTTCTGGCATGAAAGGTTTTTAGTAATATCAGCATTGTTAAATTGGATTTTAAAATATTCAGAAGAAATATATAAGGTCTATTCTTATGGTGGTGCCACGTTTATTTTGAGCGGGCAATCCACATATTCTAAGGGGAACTTGTCTAGTACCTTATTAACACACTTGAATATGCTCACAGGTTTTTATTGTGTTCTTTTGTTGAACAGGTGGCAAAGAGGCATTTGACACAGCGAATTCAGGCTCTGAATGATAAAGTGGAAAAGCAGAATGAGATCTCAAAGGATATTCAAAAGAATGTGAGATTTTCTTTCAATACATTTCTCATGTACTTAAAACATGTGAGATTGCACATGCTTTGTATTTGTATCATTGTGTTTTGGACAGGTGTGTGAGGTAACACTATGCATTCCTTGAATGTTGTGATACAGGTCAAGGAGGCTTGTGATGATCTTTTTCAGGTTGAACATAGTTTGAAGGACTTACAAAGCTTGATTTTCTGTTTGGTGAGTTTTATAATCTTACTGTTATCCAAACTACAAATTTCAGGAAAATATCGTAATCTGCCATGCTGTGTCTTTTGATTCAGTCTCCACATTTCAGATTCCTGTTCCTGATTTTTTCACATTTTCTGCAACTATTCTTTAAAGAAAAAGAAAAAGAGAGGAGGTTAGACATCTGTTTTTCATTAGATTTCAGCCAACAATATGTGATTGCTGCTAAGCAATTCCTTACATGCTTGTAATCATATACCATATTCGCTTTTCTGAATTCAATTATTTTTTTCATGTTGCAGGATGGGAAAATAGATTCATTGGGATATAAGCAGGTGAAAATTTTTGTTGATTTTTTGTGTTTGTATGTTAAAAGCTAATTCAATCTGTTGATGCAGGAAAACGTATCTACCTATAGCTCTAAGTTTTAATTTTCCCAAAGTATTAATATTGGTTATAATGAATTTATCTGGGTCATAATGTAGTGACATAGATGGCCATCTTTAATGTACTATATAGAGCATGGTCTACTTTAGTATCTATCTGACTAGCAGCTTGATAAGTAGAAACTTGTTTCACATTATCATTAGTTTGCTTAGTCCCTTTTTTTTTTTTTCGCTGTAACTTTTCATAAAAATAAATGCTGAGTTTGGTCATTTATTCTTGTTTATTGATTTCTATTTTCCAAATTGACATCCGTTGTTTAAGGATTTCGGAATTTGGCTATTTTGTCAATAGGGGACCAAATACTAAACCACTGTTCCTTGACAAATAGTTCATATTCAATTAAATAACTAAATTACCTTTTTATGCTGAATGAATCGTCCCAAACCTTCTTATAGGGCATGAAAATGGATGAAGTTTCACTAATATGTAATGCTACAGCAATGAAGTAAACGCGAATCCCAAAAAAAGGAAGAGAAAAAAGAAGGAAAGCCACATTTTGCTTAGATGTTGACACAGGGAATGAGTTTGTTCCAGAGTAGCATATTCTTTTAGCAATCTACTTTAAGTTTTTAATTTTAGGTATCCATTCCCTGGTCCTGTCCAAATAATTAAAGAATATCACTATTATATTCTTAGTATCAGATACTTTCTAACGGAAAGTTATCATGCATGGAAGTTTAAATAATTTACCAGTTACAATCAGTTTGATTTTGAAAATAACTAATAGTGGGTTTAGTTTTTTGTTTGCAAACTGGTGAAGTATGCTACTGTTTTTATTTTGCGAGATGATTATGAAAATTTTCTTAGGTTGGTTGTGGTAATTTATGTTGATGGGGATTATTGGTTGCTGGTCCATATTACCGTCAGTATAAATCTTGAATTTTCTGTTTATGTTTCCAAATTGCATTGGCTGTTGCTTGTGTTTGGATAGCCTATCTGTGTGCTTGAGGATGTACTTACATAATTCCTTTGGTGACAGGATGTAACGAATGTTGGCATGTACTACCTTTGTAGCCTCGTTGATGGGAAAGAAGGGAAAATGCCTGAAAGTATACAGGTTTGATCTATAGTTATATTAATTTTAAGTTTGTTGACTTTATTTATTTATTTATTTATTTCATTAGTGTGCACCTTAAGATTGCTAATTGGCTAGATCTGGTTAAAGTTATGCATGCCTATTGAAATAAAAGCATCATATCTTGGGTGGGTTCTGCTAGGGGTGGACAAATGCAGTACGGTTTTTGGCTGAACTGAACTGAACCGTATATTTACCAAAACAGTTTGTAAAAAAAACTTTACCATACCATACCATACCATATGAGTAATATAAATGAACCATACTGAACTGAAAAAAATTGTATGGTACGGATCTGTTTTAATTGGGGGGCTCTTTGATATTTTGTAGGGGGTTTATGATATTTTGTGGGATTTTTTGGTCATTTCTGGGGTATTTTGAAAAACAATTAGAGAAAAAAAAAGATAAACAGTTCAGTACGGTATGGTTCAGTTTGATTAAATCAAGAACCGAAAACCGTATGGTATGGTACGGTTTTTAGAAAAAAGAACCAAATGTTTTTTTTTTTTTTGGGCAAAAAAACTGTACTGTGCTGTACCCAACCATACAGTTTCATGGTTTTTTTGTTCCCCCCTAGGTTTTACAATCCATCTTCTGTAAGTATTCATTTTATCTGGTGGGTCAAGTGTCTCTGAGTGTACATTTGAGAAACTGTGAAATCATGTTAATTGGGTAGAGCAGTGGTTCTGCATTTATACAATTTGGTTACTGATTCTTCTGATCAGAAAAATGGTTCTCAATCTAATCAAGAGTGTCCAGAATAAGATGAAATGTTTCCCATACAATCATAATTAAAAATTATACTTTCCAAGAGCTCCATAACAAAACTCTATAATAGAAATGTCAACCTTTTTAGTAAAAATTCCCCAAAAGTTGGATCTAGAACTAGAATTTAGGTTTTATAGATGTTCAGTAAGGGTATGTGATGAATCTACCCAAGCATACATCTTTTAGGAGATATTGGATGATTTCTTCTATGAAACAGGGTATGGTCGCATTAAAACTTGCATCATGTACTGTTTCTCAGCGAACCAAATAGCAAATCCTGTCTGCCACAACTTCTGTGCATTTAAACTGTTTGATTGGCTTTTTCTTGCAGGATAAGTTTAAACTCGGTGAAAAGGCTCGTCATTTACTCAAAGCTCCAGGTTCCATGGTATGTATTGAAATTTAAAGAATTCATTTAATTCTTATTTGAATATAAGAATTTTATTGCTTTAACAGTTCTAGGTTCATGGTTTTGAGACGGGGATATAGAGGAATTTTAGACAATAACTGAAACTTTAGCTAGTATATCGGCAATGGTTTTCTTAATTCAATAAAAAATGAATGCTACAAGCTTTTAAGGAGATTGATATATGACATAAACCATAGGTAAGTACTTCCATAGTTAACTGCCATGGATTAATCCTCTTGATGAGAGCTTTTGACATTGAATTCAAAGCCTTATATAGTGTTGCCCCAACTGTTAATATAACCTCTATAATTTTTGCTAGTGGCTGTTAGAGGCCTTACATGTAAGGTCTAGCTCACTTTTTTAAATTTCAAACACTTTGGTTTTTATCAGATATTTATATTCTCCGGTATGGCATGAATATTTTGTACTACTCTATTTCAGGGACTTCAGGAAATTACAGATTGTGTATCTGAAACTGTCAGTCAGAAAGCTGCAGATAATATTCAGAAAGTGGGTACCAATAATTTTGGCCACCAGCAAAGAGTATTCTCAAGGTTTGAATTGTAAATCTTTTCTTTATATGAAATTGAATGTTCAAGTGTGTGTGCGTGCTAGGTTTTGGGCAGCAAGCATATAGACTCATTTGATTAATGTGTTTTTACCTATTGCTACTGCTGTATATTTCTATTCTGATATTGTGATTAATTTAGCATTAGAGTGAGAAGTCTTTATGGTCTGCTACATTGCTGAGAAAATTTTAGGACGAGAATGAAAATACATGATATATACGAGTGTTCACGGGGCAGGATCTTACACAAATACCCATGGCATTGCTAAAGACCTCGTTTCATTTATTTATTTTTATATTTCACTTCTAAAGCTTTTATATTAACATGAAAATGCATGTTATATTAACCGTATTTAATATAACATGATGCAGGATCACTTCAGCATAGCATTGGAGACAGCTTCATTTTGAGATAAACATTTATGTCCAATAAAAATGGTAATTCATTGTTACTCTTTTTTCCATGTACTTTTTGAACACGGTTGGTGTTCATCACCAGGTTGTTGCTGTATATAAAATATGAAAATTTAAAAATGTTGTTTAGTGGTAGTTGCTGCAACGATCTTGGATCCAGTCAAAATATATAGCTAAGATAAATTCAGCATTATTATTCAATATTTGCAAGTGTTGTGAGATTTTGAAAGTGAGTTTCCTGCACTAACCCATTGGATTGCTGTTACACATAAGAGAAAGATAAATAACCCTTCTACCCTTGTTGTATGATCATTTAATTTTAGCATCCTCAAAAAATCTCACTTGCTCCCTTTATTAAATTGGTTTTTAACAATTTTGGGGAGGCTTTTGCATTGTTTTAAAACCCTGATCGGAGGGCAACCTGTTGTCTGGTTCACGGGTCAATCAGTCCAACCCAGTTGGACCGGTGACATTAGCACAGAAAAAAAAAAAAAAACCTGTTTTTTATTTTGTATTTTGTATTTTAGCATTTTCATTTTTTAATAAGACAATAACAACTTAATTATTGTCTAACATAATTCAAAATTCATATTCAATAACAATCCTAGCATAATTTAAGTATTTAATAACAATCTAAAATTTAAATCCAAACATAATGTTGTGTTCATCTTCATCCATTACATATTGAATTTAAATGACAAAATTCATAATAATTAATAACAAAACATTTGGTGTAAGTGTTTTTTCTTTGATCCGTCTTTATATTGATTGAGCTTTACACACTAGCATCAAAATTCATCACTATCATCAGAATCATAATCATCACCATCATCTGCATAAATTTCGGTAAAAAACAGAAAACATAAGTTAAAACTTGTAATTTAATTTAAAATAAATATTAAGTTGCTGATCACCCATTTTTTTATGATTCAATCGATAGTTCAGAAGGTTGGTTTCAAACACTAGCATCAAAATTCATCACTATCGTCATGATCATAATCATCACCATCATCTACATAAATTTTAGTAAAAAATAGAAAGCATAAGTTAAAACTTGTAATTTAATTTAAAATAGATATTAAGTTGCTTAAATATTTGAAACCAACCTTCTGAATTATCGGTTGAATCATATAAAGAGGCGTGATCAGCAACTCTAACTCCAGTAGGAATAGATCATTCTCAATATAACATTTGTTCAACTCCTCATAATTAAGTTCACTGACCTCTTCTTCATCGTCAACTATCCAACATTTAGTTTTGGCAAATTTGGTGCAAGTTTTTGCTCACACATATCCCTCAAAAGCTCCTTATATTCTTTGGCTGCTTGTTCCATGCCTCAGTCTCAATCTTCACTTGCCTTCTCTCAAGCATATGATACTTCTTAGACCTTATTCCATGCCCAATTTTTTTACTTTTTCTTTTGAGTATTCACTCCCTCTTTATGCTATTCTCTCTTCATTTCTTGCAACAATCGTCAAACTTCGTCAACAACTGACACATCTTCTTCAACATCAGTTGAAGAAACAACCTCAGCTACACTAGCATACCCTCTCAAACACAACCCATTACCCCAATTACCATTATTCAAAACTCCAAAACATGGCCTCCCCAAATAATCCTCATGACTAAAAATCTCACCAACCGAACGAGAACCCAATTCATGATTTCTGCCAGAACCCAGCTCCAAACATCCAAATTTGCACTGTCCACAAAAAATCGAGTCTTGAGAAAACCCCAAAAAGCTGTAAGCACGTGAAAAGGGTTTTTTACAATCAAGGGAAGAAGATCTCAAAATTGCTTGCCTAGTAACGTTTCTCCACATAATTGAGGAAATATTTTCAAGGTTTCGATAAAGAAGCAGGGTTTTATTGTTATCACAAAAGATGAAGTTTGTGGGCAGAGATAGGGGCTTTGGTATTGAACATCAATTGAGCTGTCGTTAAGGAATGAAGTTGTCGTCGACGAATGGAGCTGTCGCTGTCGATTTCCAGCGAGGAATGGAGTTGTCGTCGTCCAGGAATGGAGCTGCCGTCGATTTCTAGCGAGGAATGGAACAGTCGTCATCGATTTCCAGCAGGGAATGGAGTTGTCGTCGTCGATTTCAGAGAGTTCAGTTGTGATTTGGTGAATGGTTGCGATTTCAGACTTTAGGGAATGGAGTTCATTGGAATTTGAGTGGGATTTCAGAGAGGAATTTGCGTAGAGAAGAAGCTGAGAAATCTGAGAAACAATGAAATGAAATCAGAATGGAATGGGCTTGCGATTCCGTAGAGTTAGAGATTTTTGCAACTTTCGACCAGTTTATCCGCCGGTCCGGTTGGGTCGGCAATTCATATATTTTATCCTATTTTTAAACAGTTTAAAGCAGGTTATTATATAATAGTAGGTTTAGTGTTGACTCGAACCAGACACGTGTCCAGTCCGGTTTTTAAAACAATGGGTTTTTGATGATTAAATTCATCACTCAAGACTATTTGTGATGTTTTATGAAAATAGTGGGTATCTAAGCTTAGGGAGCCTAGTTAGGCGATTGTTCAATGCTGCTCCCACTCCAAACTCGATACCCTTTTAAATCCCCTCGGCTCCTGCAAAGCAAGTTAATATTTTTAATGCCTCGGGTGAGGTCGAAGATTCGGTGACATGTTTTCAAGGCTTCAGGTTAAAATGATAATAATTATTATTAGCACCGCTAAAACTAAACAGATATTTATTTAGACCCCTTAATTATTAGAAGCTACAACAGACCCCAACACTTAGAATTTAACGCAAAAGTGGATGTTAGACTCCCTTTGGAAATATTTGTTTTGTTCCTTATCTTCAATTTTTTAATTCTTTCAATAGTAAAAAACTAACTAAAATATGAATTTAAGTGGGATATTATCATAGACTATGTAAAGTTTTAATATTTATTACTCGGATGATTTACAAAGGGACCCTCAAGTTTAATTGTTTTTATCATAGATACTCATTTGCACTAACTTTGTTTGCGTTTACTATTTTACCCTAACATTTTTTTTTATAAGACTAAAGTTTCTATTTCACTCATCTATTACAAATGACAACCTAACAAAGTTAGGACTAGTGGGTATCTGTGATACAATTTGAAACTTAGTAGTCTATGATAAAAAATGCAAAAGTTATGATCTAAATATAATAACTTTTTTCTTTTAAGAAACCTTAAAGGTAGTATATGATATTCTTTCAATTTAAGGGTGTTTGTCTGAGCTTATGAAAATTAACTTATAAGTAAGAAGTGCTTATAAACTAATTTTAGTTTATAAGCATTTGAAATTTTAAGCAATTACGTATTTGGTTAAAGTACTTATAAGTGATTGATAAGTAATTGACGTGTTTGGTAAAATGTGGCTTATAAGTACATTTTATTATAAAATGACTAAAAAAAAGTACTATATTAAACAAGGGTATACTATGGAATTTTAAAATTAAACAAGGATAATGTGATAATATACTTGGTCAAATTAGTTTATAAGAAAAAAAAAAAAAAAAGTACCTCGCTCCCAATTTATTTATTTTAGCTTATAAGCTCAACTTATAAGCTCAAAAAACTTATAAGTCAGCTTAATTTTAGAGTTTATAAACTAGTTTGACCAGCTTATAAGATTAGACATACACACCGTTAAATTCATGTCAAAAGTTTATAAATGAATCTTTTAAGAAATATGTATTGCTAATTATTATAAATCGTATATAATTTTCAGTTTGAGATTTTAGGTTTAGGGTTTGATTCTTGAGTTTGAGATTTGATGTTGAGATTTTAGGTTTAGGGTTTATTTCTCAATCTGCAGAACTCTCTCTCGACAATTCTTGAACCAAAATTGACAAACTTTTGAGTAAAATTTACAAAATAGAACCCTTTCGATTCTCAATCTTCAAAATTCTTTGTCTCTGCCTGAAACCAGCAAACCTCTTACGACACTTATTGCCTCCACGAGTTGGTTTAACTAGGTATTCTTTTATTATTATTTTTGCTATTTCTTGTTTAATGAAATTTTAATAGTGAATGTCGTTAACTGGTATTGTGATGATGTGAGTAATAGTTTTCTAATGTTGATGGTATTAAAGGAATGAGGCAAAGTGGGTAATGAATCCTTTTTGCCATGTTTATCATCGGACACGAACATTATTGATTGGTCATTGGAATTGCTCTTTTTTTGGTGTGCGTTTTATTTGTTGATTTGGTAGAAAATCAAATTGAAGGTGGAGACTAGCTTTTGCAATAAAGCCATTGTCGTGTACTCTAGGAAAGTGCTTAGGGGCTGTTTGGTCGAGGGGGTATGTGCGATTACTGAAGTTATGTCATCTTATATTACTTGATTACCATGTTTGATTGTCAAGTAATATAAGATTTCGGTAATCTTCAAATACTAATAGTAGTTCGTGTTGGTAATATTAGAGGTAATTTGATTACCTCAATTTTCTTAGATATTGTAAGATTATCAGAGTAATCTTTTTTTTTTTTTGTTACAATTCTATCCCTTATTAATAAAATTTTAGGACAATAATACCCTTATTTTTAAAGTTATTTACATGAATCTTGCTTTTACCATTTCACCCCAATTAATTAACATTTTGGACAAAATTACCCTTAAAATCAAAACAAATTTTAGTTTACCCAAGCCACCACCCCCACTCACCTGTTGTCGCCTGCCACCAACCAAACCACCGCCGGTTGTTGCGAGAAATCATAGGAAGTCACCTAGAGTTGTCGAGAGTAGCCCACCATCACCGGGAGGCTTTGATATGGCCGTTTCTGGCCATATTGATGGCTGAAAAGGCCATATCAAGAGCAGATCTGGCCGAAAATGGTCAAATCTATTTTGGCAATTCCCAGCCAGATTAATGGGTTTGGCCATTAAGGCCTTTAGCGGCCATATCTAAATGAGATATTGTTGTTAACAGCCATGGATTTGGTCGTTAACAACTAGATCTATTTTGGCCAGAATAGAATGGCCAGATCCATTGATCTGACCGTTTTCGGCCATCAATATGGCCAGAAACGACCATATCAGGGTCTCCCGGTCACAATGGGCTGCTCATGGCGACTACAGGCGAATTCTGATGATTTTCGGTGGCGGTTTGCGGTGGCGGTAGAGATGACAACAGGTTGTTGGGGGTGATTTTGTTATAAATTAAAGTTTTATATAAGCGGAGTGTTTGAGCTAAATTTAAAATATTGGGGGTT